CCCGCCACACCCTTTGTCCTATGTCTCCGCGCCGCCCCCGCCCACAGACACCTGACGGCGCGCGCCTCGGTGAACGCTGAGCCGCCAGGGGTGGGCCGGCAGCAGGCTGAAAGGGGGTAATTCACTGCAACAAAGCCCCCACTGTGTGTATGCGACGAACCCCCTGTATGCAGGCGCAACCCCCAGAACGCCCCCTCCCCCTCAGCCGCAACTAGTCTGGCCGGGAGTGGGAGCGCGCCTGAGCGGAGCGCCTGGCGGGGTAGGCCGTCCCGTTGGACAGCCGTGTCGGTCGGCTCTGCCTACATGCAGGGCGCTCTGAGCGGCCGGGCCAGCGGGCGGCGCTGCGCAGCGGGGAGTGGAGACGCTCAGTGCACTAAAGGGGCGTCGTTTGTCGCAGTTTGTTGTCGCTGTGGCGGGCCGGCTGAGGCTGCTGACAGGGGGCTGGAGGATATCAAGTTTGCGATTTTTGCGGAAGGTGATTCGCAAAGTTGGGAGTGGAGCCGAGATCGAACTGCTGACAAAGTCCTCAACCCTCCTCTGTGTAACAGTCGAACAAATTTAAAGTGCGTGTCCAAATGTCAAATGTCCCACGAAGAAAGGTCGTGTGACATGGTTGCCACCCACTTTATGTATGGGCCGTTTTTGATGTCCACTTTTATGTGTTTGAATTGAATGTCACTTCTATTGTTATACTGTGACCAATTTGTGGAATTGCCAATCGAAAAAAAAACACGCCAATGACGTAGCCTCCAGCAGCTCGGGTGGCGGTGAGCCCCCCGGTGCGGCGCGCCGGTGAGCACCGGCTCCCGTCCGAGGTGCGGAGAGCGCGGTGGCGTTCCCGTTAGCACCGCCCCCATTAGCAGCCGGCGTGAAGCCGAACGCCCCGCCCCGCCCCGCTCCACGTGTCACAGGCACTTAGCACCGGAGGCATGCGAGGGGCGTGGCAGCTCAGTGCGCGGGAATCGACTCGACTCCATTCTTCCTTGCGGTGACGCGATATTGGACTGGGCGTGCGCCAAGTTCTAAAGGGCGCGCACAGCCTATCCCGCCATTTTTTTTCATGTTTTTTTCCCCTCTTTTTGGCAGAAGCGGGCGAGGTAACTTTGGTAGTGTGGGACGCACGACTCTGTGCGGGTGGGGCCGGGCCCGCCAGATTCTCACGCCCCCGTACTCAGCCCCGCCAGCAGGGCTGATAAAACCCTTCCCCAGGCGTTATACTACCCCTAAAGACCACCCGCCGCCGTTGCGTCATTTTATTTTCTAGTTTTTAGTGGGGCGACGAACACCCCCCCCCTCCCTCGTAGATTGGCCTTTAGGGCCCAGAGACGATTGACGAGGTTGTGTTTTCCTTGTGAATTAGACGTTTCAGAACTGCCAACCAATAGAAAGATACACTTAAACTGAGCTCAAATACTGCTTAGCTCATTCGAATACTTTTAGGAAAAATAATTTCTTTGAAGAGAATCAATCTTTTGTTTTCAACAGTTTTACATTATCTTTTTTGTTTTGCTTTCTCCTCATGTTCGACTAGGTTATACATTCTTGTAAATATTTTCCAAACATGTCTATGCAATTTAATTTTTTTAATTCCATTTCAGTTAACTTTGAACATGCCAGATTGAAGAAGGAAGATGCACTAGATTTGAAATGCGGAGTTTATACGTCCGACAACAACTCTAATGTATGCACCATCGCTGCTGTTGCTGCTGATGGAGATGTGTTATATCAAGGTGATGTTCTCAAAGAGGATGGTGACCTTTGTAGAACATTTTTAGCAGTACGAAACAAGAAAACAAACAAGGTACATTTTCTCTGTGGTCATAAAAATTATCTATTGAGGTACAATTCCCTAAATGTTATAATCAATCTGTTTTAGATGCGTTTAATTGAAACCAGCCATGTTATGCTTTCCCCAAGTATCGGTAGCAACGATATTGATCAATTGGGTATGGAAGACAAGAAGCAAGCACATTATAATCTGAGCCATGCCTTTGGTTCTAAAAAGGCCAAAAGAATTGCTGATCAAAAGGCAAGAATGGAAGTTAATGTAGATTCTGTTAAGGACAAACTTTCTTCCACAGTTAATGGTACGTAATCAACAGAGTTTCTGATTATGTAACCATTCGAATTATGCTCATTGCGCTTAACCAGCTTATTTTCTCTGTAGATATTGTTGTGAAAGAAGATATGTTAGCGACAACTGAGGATGATAGCTTCACTAAATTACTCCCCCTTTGCAATCGAGAGGCAAAAGCTCCAGCTGATGTGTACCCTATTAGTGGTCTTCTGAAGAGAAAAGAGCTTGAAAGTTTGGAAAATTATTATACTAAAGCTATTGAAAGTGAAGAGCTCAAAATTTCTGAGTAAGTTTTTATATTCCTTTATTTTCTTTATTTGATTTTTAATTTATTAAGAGTAACATTTTTATTATTTTTCAGAATGTCTCATCTTTACAAACATTTGTCTAAAAAGATTGCAGTAGGAAACACTACATCGCAGGCACTTCTCTTGTATGCCGAAGCTTTAATACATTTTTGCAATTTACGTCGCAGCGATGTTAAATCATGCCTTAAGAAGAAAGAAATGTTGTGCTCTTTTTCTGAGGTACTCCAGAAAAGAATATCAAAAGAATTCTTATCTGTCAACGGTATTTCCGTGTATGTAACTTTTAAATGTTTAAAAAGAAATTCTTTAGTCTAAGATTTTTATATTATTATATCTAATTTTGCTTTTACTTTGTCCTAACAGATCAAGACCACAGTCGTTTTTGGATAAGGCTGTTCTCCATGTTATTATCATTAGTCTGCATGTTGGTGTTTTCCAATTAGATTTAGATGTTGTGGCACAAAGTATTAAGGATATGGACCTCAATAGGTAAGATTCATGACTCACTGTACCCACTTAAACTCGTATTCCTTATCTTGTTGAAATACCTTTTCTCATACTGTGACTCAATTTCAGAATTAGAATGCTTGCTCGTGCTGTTGGCACAGTTCCTGTTAAAACCCAGACAGCTGTAAAGAATCTTGTTATGCTTAAGGTGCCACTTCCATCCCCGCAATCCATGATTATGAAAACTCGCAAGTCGCGAAGATAACTGCGGAATCAGGACTTACATGGTAATTCCCTACATGATTTTTTTTTTTCCTACCTCCTGCAATAGTTGGGTGTAGACTTGTGATTCTGTTGTGAATATATTCATTGTCAGAATTGTGTTTTTATCTCATGACAACCCGATTCCTGCCTTACTCAAGTACAATGAGTTACCATCTGAAAGTAACCAAACAGGGTGACTCGGTTTGATGGCGGAGCGCGGCCTACTGCCTGAGCTCCAGGAGCTCCAGGAGCTGGAAGTAGCTCGTCCTGGAGTTCTGGATTCCATCCGACCCGCGAGGAGGCGTGACCCAGTGAGGACTTAGTTTGCTGGACAGCCGCCAGAGTGCTGTACTTACCGTAAAGGAGAGAGAGAGGGTGGTGGGAGAGGTACGGTGCCCGTGGGAGTGGGAGGGAGAGAGGAAAGGGTGGGGGCGTTCCTCGCTGGCAGAGCTGGGGCCGAGCCTGGGGCACAAGACCCAGTCAGTTGCGCTGCGCGGAGCTGCGTCGCTTCGACCCGAGCTACGCGAGTGTCCCTCTGTCCGACCCGTGCCGTGAGTGGAATGTCTCAAGCTCTGTCGTGTGAATGAAAATGTGACAAGTTTGTGGATATTCTCATGGGATTATACCGTTGAGCGAATTTCACGTCTCGTTCCGAAGGTAAGGCGATGTCATTCCTTCCCTTTCCGCTCGACGCCCTTAACCTCGGCGTTAAGGCGGATCCGGGACAGCATCCTCTCTCTCTTTTTTGCGTGGTCGCTTAGCCGCGAGACGAACACCAGCGGTGGCATTGGGTTGCGTCACGTCTCCAGAAAGCCAGTGAGGGCCGTGCACTTGAGCCGTGCTCCGGGAGGCTGTGCGCATTGACAGGTCGGATCCGCTCGTGCCCTTGCCTTTCCCAACTTTCTCCGGGGGGGACACAATTTCAAAGTGGGAGGGGGAGGAGGGGGTGGGGTGCCGAGGAGGGATCCCGGACCCGGAGACTGTGTTGCGGAGACTGAGCGAACGCGCGCTGCACAGGGGAGCGGGCGTCCGCGTTTGAGACGGAAAGGCGCAAGGGAAGGCAGGCGCGCTGACACATGGAGGGAGCTCCGGGTCGGCCTCTCCGGCTCCGGGAGGCAGGCTCCGGTCGGGTGGGCCGCGCCGTGGCGTGGCGTGGCGGCGCGCCGCGCCCCACGCAGCGTCGCTATGGTCGCGCCTCGCCTCACCTCGCCGCCTCACCGCGGGCGGGGCCCCCCGGCCCGGCCCCGGCCCCGGCCCGACCCGACCCGACCGGCGAGCAGAGCAGAACACTGGACTACATAGCTCTGCTTCGCGCTGCCTCACTCAGTCGATGAGATGGCCGCCCCTCTTGTCGCATGTGCACGTGCTGTCCGCCTCCAGCGCGTGTGGGCTGGGGCGGGGAGGGGCTCTGGTGGCCAGCACGCCGGCCAGCACGCCGGCCAGCTGAACGGAACCGAGCCGGACTGGTCTGACTGGAGCGAGCCCGGCCGCACTCCGCAGGACGTGCAGGCCGCCGCATGCCTCCTATCTGCTGGAGTGCAGGCGCAGAGCCCTCGCTAGAGAGATTGTCGTTGTAAGTCTCATATCTGCCGGAGCGCAGGTGCCGCGTGAGCCGTGAGCCCCGCCCCGCTTGAGAGACAGTCGTTGTCTGTCTCCTATCGGCTGGGGCGCAGGTGCCCGGGCGCCGTGCAGCCGTCCCTCTCTCCCCGCTGCTGGCCCGCGCCCTGCCCTCCCAATCACACACAGAGTCCCCCACGGCGAGCACAGAAAATCCGCCCCATGAATTTTTGGGACAGGCCGGCCTCTTCGCGGGAATTATTGAAAAGGCGCCCCGGCCGAGAGCTGTACTCTCTAGGGGCAGCAGCGGGGCTGGCGGGGGCGAAGAAACACGGAGGCTGGGGGGGCTTTAATTATGTAGTGGCTGCGGTTAGGACCGGGGGCCTCTGGACCCTCGCCGCCGCCCCGTGGGGCCCTGCCTGCCCCTCTCTCACTCACTCTCATGCAATTCCACGTCTCTCTCTGCCACACAGGCCTCAAGATGGACGAGCCGACCGACACCATCACGTTCCTGCTGCAGCTCGGGCTGGTGCGGGACACTTGCACGGTGGAGGCCGGCACCCTCAACCTCAAGGCACTCAAGGACCTCGCCGTCGACTTCATCAACAAAAAGGTGGGCATCTTGCATGCGGTCGTCTTTAACCCCTCCTCTGCGTCACCCCGGACCAAGTGTGCCTTCACCCGCTGGGTGGAAAACTTTCGCGCACCTTTGCAGTTAAGTTGTACTTGCCCCCGGACTATAGCTGCACCACATGCAGGAGTATGCCTGCCTTTGGTCTGCGACCATGGCGCCTTACGGCCTCGAGTAGGCAACCCGCCCGCACGGGTGGTGTGCGGGACAGTATTATCGACGGGGTTTCTCAGCCTGCCCCCCTGGTCGCGCCCGCACCTCGACCGACTGCGACACAGTGAGACGCACTGGGAGACGTACTTCTCGACGCGCCGTTTCGGTCGGCACCTGCTCTTCCACCTCGAGCCGCCCGAGCGGGGCGGGCCGCGCCGCGCCCGACTCAGTCCCGTTACCGCCGAATAAGCCTCGGTGCAGAGACACGACGCTGTGCTTCCGGGCCGAGCTCGGGAGAGGGCCTCACGTGCGCACCCCTTGGGGACTCCCCTTGGCTCGCAACCCCTTCACTCTCGGGGGGCGGAGGGAACCACCCCTCTGCTTCCCGTGTAATCCTCCGCACCCTCAATCGGCTGGGTTCGCCCGTTCTCATTTCCGCACCACGAAGCGACGCGGCGACTTGGTGTCAACACTACGGAATGCCCCACCCCCCCTCCTCCTCCTCCTCTTTCCTTCTCTCCCTACCCTTCGCCCCCCTGGCCACGCCGCCGCCGCTCCCCCGACCGAGATCGAACCCTTACCGCAGTGGGCGATGCGCACGCCGCCTGCAGCATCCCTCCCTCCCCCTCCCTCCCCCTCCCT